AACGAGAGCAGGTTCCGGGAAAGGCATCTAACTTTGGAATCGGTTAACCCGCAGGGAGCAAAGGCGGGGGGTGCAGGTGGGAACGCGTTGTTTTTGTGCGTGTGGGTGTGTGTTTTTGCCCAAGGAGTATCTTTCTCTAATAAGGAGAAAGATGCGGTGTCCAGCCTGGGGAAGAAGTGTATTTTTTTTAAAAAAAACAACAACAAACAAACTCGGCATTCCTTCATGCTCTAGAGAAACAGATGAAAAGAAATATCCCATAAAATGCAATCAAACCCCACGGAGGCCTTTTTCCAACTTCTCCCAACCCTACTTAAGCGACTTGAACCGAAGGTGGACACGGGGAGTGCGTGCTGAGGACGGGAGGGGGCAGTTCCGTGGGTCTGCCCGTCGAACCCGCACCCAAGAGGCAGTCGTGTGCGCGTGTGTGTGTGCGTGTGAGCGCGCGCGCGTGTGAACGGGAGAACAGAGAGCCGCGGGGAAGGGGGCCGCCGAAGGGGCCCCTGAATTGCTCCTCAGCAACTCGCCGAACTCACTCCGGGGTCCGGGCGCCCGGCGCCCGCCGGCGCGCCCCGTCGGGGCAGGCTTACCTATCTGCACGCTGCTCGGAAAGGCTCCCATGGCGAGTCCCCAAAATCCAGAAAACAACAAGACAATCTGTCTGCAAATAATCCTCATCTTCTTATCTCCTCTCCCCGGCGCGCGCTCTCTCTTTCTCTCACTTCCTCGGGGCTGTTCAGAGAGGCATTGAAGACGATGGCGCTAAAATTGAAAACAACAAAACCAAAATGAAAAAAGAAAAAAAAATGCCCAGCTATTGCTCGTGTATATATAGCCACCTGCTATAAAGTAGAGAAAAAACAATCAAATCACTCTGGAAAGCCTTCCTGGTGGATAAGCTAAACCCTCTTCTCCTGTTGTATTTCACTTACATCTAGGTAATGTGACCCTGATTGCATGAGCAATACTTCACAAATAAAAGCTGCAGGAACATTCAGTACCCATTTATTATCCCATCATCATAGACTTGACACACCCAACAGTAAGTGTAATTATGTGCAGCACCATAAATAGCAATCTTATCTCCCTTCACTACTGTGGATAATTCTTAGTTTCAAAGGACACTATTGGAGTATGGGGGGAATAGGTAATAAAACTTTAAAAGTTGAGTGCTAAGTTTCACCTAAAGAGTAGAGGAATGTTTGGATGCCAGGTTAGGAAAGAGAGAAGGGAGGGGTGGGCAGAGATAGAGATGAGAGAGGTGAGAGAGATGAGAGAGGTGAGAGAGATGAGAGAGGGAGGGAGAGAGGAAGAGATAGAGAGAGAAGTTCAAGGAAGGACAAAGGGGAAAATGTGAGAACTGTGACTTCTGTATTTTGTAATCCCAACACATAACTAAGAATATGTTAAGAAGGTAAAATTGCATTTTGAAACATATTTCAAGAACAAATCATTCAAATCATAATAATTTTTATAATCCCAAGTTCTTCTTTCTTAAAATTTTTAAAATTTCAAAAGAATATATAAGCTCAAGTTTAGTCTTAAGAACAGTTACATGAAAAGCAGTTCTACAAATTCACTATTCTCACTGCAACCCACAATTTTCTTAAATTACTTCTCATTATATAAAGTTTTAGTAAAATCAACTTTTCCTTGAGCAATTTGAAAATTGAGCATGCATCAATCCATAGCTAATTTAACATGTTACCTGCTGCTACTATAAAAAGTCCCATCAACTAAAACATAACTACTGTGATACACAGCAAGAAACACAAAGACAAGACGCAGCAATTGTTGATGTCAAAGGTATGACACAGTGACAATAACAAGGAATTGCACTGACGATGCCAGAGAACTCACAGTACGTTCAAGTCCAAGGTACCAGCTGCACACGGAGTCTGGTGCCACATGTCAATCTAGGAGATGTCAAGGAAGCAATGGTTGTAACGACAAAGTCAGTGTCAGCCAATAGAAATCATTAGCAAACACTTGCCTGTGTCAGCTGCTGATACTGATGAGCTGTAAAGATGACAAAGCATTGTACAATTATGCCTCCTACCTCCCTCCTTCCCCAACAGCTCAGGACTAGAAATAGCAGTACATCTGTTTTTTCAGTCCCATCTGAATATATTAACCTATCTTGACCTTAGTATTCTAAGAGAAACTCTGCCTGGAAATTGAGGGAAGCCCTATTTCAAAGTTTAATAAAAGGACATAATTTGACTTGGTTGCAAAGTGTCACTCTTTCAAATTATATGTATGTATAGAGNACCCCCAGCGCCCCTCTCTCGGCTTCCCAGGCGTCCCCGCTTTCTCGGCCGCACTTGGTTGGAAACTGGCCCGCGGGCCGGGTGTGGCGCCCGGCTCAGGGGCGCGGGGAGTCGGCGCCTCGCAGGCCCCCGGCCCCCTGCCGCATTCCCGCAGGCTCGCGGGGAGGACCGGCCGCCTCCCTCCCTACAGCCCGCGCTCTCCTCTCCGCCTCGCCCTCTCCTGCCACTGGGCTGCGCGCGGGGGACTCGGGGCCTCGCTGCAGCAAAGATTTCTCATCAGCAAACCGCCCGAGAGCCTGGAGAGCCCGAGACAGGAACGGAGGCGGCGACGGGCTCGGGGAGCCAGAGGCGCAGAAAGGGCGGCAAAGGGCAGCCCCGGGCAGGTCTCAGAGGCTGGCACCGAGGAGGAAAGAGTTGGAGGAGGGAAGGCCGGGGAGGGGCGCCCGGAGAACTCGAAACGTCCCGGGGAGGAGGGGAAAGAAGGGGTTAATTCACAGAGCAAAGTTTAGGGTAGTGAGCCGGCTGGGGAAGGAGAGCCGGAGAAATGAAAACCGACCGGAGGCGCGGCCAGGAGCTGGAGCGGTGGCGAGTGTCAGGTGGGAGGGGTGGTTGGGACCCCTTCCCTCCCAGCCACCTTCCTCTCAGCTGTGGCCCTCCACGGGCGTCAGAGGGACAGGCCCAGGGGCTGGTGCAGGAAGAGGCCCCGCGAGCCCTGCAGACAGTGGGCACAGAGTCTGATAGGGGAAAAATCGGTATTTTTCATGCTCACAGCTTCTCTTAGCTGGGGCCCTGGAGTATTCACTCCACTCCAGTCCCTCCTGGAAGACTTAAGCACTGCATTTGATGGCCATAGTTGTTCTGAGCGGGTAGGGTGACATTAGTTATCCTAGAAACTTTTGGAACTCTGATGTCACTTCCTCTCCAGGTCACCTTTGAGACTTCACTTCACCTGACTGCGTGGCAGACCAGAGGGACAGGCCCGTGGTAGGGATGCGTGGTTTGAGGCCTCTGGATCTGGACAGTAGCTACCATGCCTTAATCTCATTAAACTGTCAGAGAGAACGTGTTTGAAATCTTTACAGTTCTTTGGGTTCCGTTGGTTGCATCCTGTCATTTTAGAGCCTGGAAAACTGGGTTGCATCCATTTGGCACAAGCTTCCGAGAGATTAGAGGGAGAATAGAGCCATTGCCGGTGTTTCTCTGAGGTAGTATTTGGGAAGAGTGGCGACTGGATCCACTCATATTGCAGCCTTACAGGAGCTGCCCTGGTAAAGGCTGCTTTGGAAACGCACCACCTTGACCCCTTGGAGTCTTTTCTTACCAGATATCACCAGTATTTGTAGGTGTAGCTGTCGATGGCATTTAATGTTCCCCACTAAACTTCGGAGTGCTTTTCTTCGGAGTGTTTCCAAGTTCTGAATTTTGCTCTTAAAATCTCATCTTTTGTTATTTATCCACTTTCCTGTTACATTTCACTGCAGATTGTTATGACAGACAACAACCACCGCCTAATTTGAGTAATTGGATTACACAAATCACGCATTTGTCATTTCTGTTTAGAAGGCTTTCGTCTTGCAAGTCAAGTGGGACTTGAAATGTTTTCTCTTTGACTTTTCTGTCAGTGTAAAAACCGAAGCTGTAAACATCATTCTGTTTCTCTTACAAGATAATAAAATAAAATAGGCCACATAAAATTCAAGTTGAATTTCAGTCAAATTAAAATTTCAAACCCCCCCAAATCACTTACCTCTTCACCTAGTTAGGCAACTAGTGAAGTTCCCCTGATGCACAGAGGTAATTACTACCTTTTATTATTCTTCAAATTAACAGACTTGAGCTTTCATACGATGTAATGCCACCATTGACAGGAATACAGGACAAGTTTTATTGTTCACCAAACTGCCATGATGACAGCTCAGTTAATAGGACCACAGATGACACAACTGTACTTTTTCAAGACAGTAGCCTGGGTTTTTTGAATTTCTATTTTTCCATTTAATTAAAACCTCCATTTTACTTTATGAGTCTAAGTTATCTTTCTGTGAGTGATATCTCTAGCATGATCTCTATAGAAATCACTTCACCTCATATTTATCTTTACGATGCACCAAAAAGGACAGAGTTTGGGAGCTGGTTTAGCAAGGAAGGCAAGCGAAAACTGGGGGTAGATTGTATGCGTTTGTAAATAACAGAAATAATAACCAACAATGCTGATGACAAAACCGTGAAGACTAGAACTGTGACTAGTAATGGCAGAGTCAATACCTGAACTTTGAATCCTGAGTATATGTCTCTGAACCATTTTATGAATTTGTATGACTTGTGATATACCTCTTATTGCCCCCAAGTGTGAATTTACATATAGAAAACAATTCCTTGAGCCTGTCTTTGGAGCATTTGTAAAGGCAGAGGTAAAAGTTCCCGCTATATAAGTATAAAAATTCAAAGGATTATTACTAGCTGAGAAAACCAAAGACATATAGGTTTGATTTTATTGCTTTTGTGTTATTCTAAGTAAATAGTTTCACAATTTTCTGAACTGCAACTCCCCAAACCCCTAATTCTGTAAAGTCAATTCGGCCAGCGTTTGGCAGTTTTGCTATGGGGAAGGCTCCAGTGCTGTGGGGATTCCACAGAGGAACATGCCACAACCTCGTTCTCAAAACCCTCACATAGTGGAGAATGCGATCACACAGGGTCAGCCAATCATTGTCCGGGAGCAGAGGAAAAAACAGCATGCGGAGTGCCTCAGAGAAGGCTTCATCTAGACTTTTCAATAAGAAGATAGATAGATGATAGATGATTAGATAGATAGATGATAGATGATATAGATCTATAGATAGATGATAGATAGATGATAGATGATAGATAGATAGATGATAGATAGATAGATGATAGATAGATGATAGATGATAGATAGATAGATGATGATAGATGATAGATGATGATAGATAGATAGATAGATAGATAGATAGATAGATAGATAGATAGATGATAGATAGATAGATAGATGATAGATAGATGATAGATAGATAGATAGATAGATAGATAGATAGATAGATGATAGATAGATGATAGATAGATGATAGATGATAGATAGATGATAGATAGATGATAGATGATAGATAGATATAGATAGATAGATAGATAGATGATAGATAGATAGATAGATAGATAGATAGATAGATAGATAGATAGATAGATGATAGACAGATGGATGATAAATGATAGATCCATCCATCTATCCATACATACATACATAGATGATAGCTATAGATAGATATAGATAGATGATAGAGATATATAGATAGATGACAGATATAGATGATGATAGATGATAGATAGGTAGATAGATGATAGATATAGATGATAGATAGATAGATGATAGATAGATAGATAGATAGATAGTTGATAGATGATAGATAGATGATAGATGATGATAGATAGATAGATAGATAGATAGATAGATAGATAGATAGATATAGATAGATAGATGATAGATAGATATGGTTTTTTAGGTAGAAAAACAG